ATGTAGCCGCCACCTTGCTGTAGCTTTTCTTGCTGTTGTTGCCGTCCAGCAGCAGCGGGGGTGTTGTCGAGGGTCGGCGACTTCCAGGTCAGGTTGGCGCCACCGACGGCACTCCTGCCACCGTCCTTGTTGTCACCGTTGTCGTAATAACCACCGCCGCCGCCGCCGCCTCCGACCGCACTCCTCCCACCGTCCTTGTTATCACCGTTGTCGTAATAACCGCCGCCGCCGCCGACCGCGTTCTTGTAGTCACCGTTGTCGTAGATAACCGCCGCCGCCGCCGCCGCCGCCGCCGCCATTGTTGTTGAAGCCGCCGCCAGGGCTTGCCGTCATCCCGCCGCCGCCGCCCGTGGCAGCAGCGGCCGTCGCGGCTCCGGCGGCGACGCGAAGCGCGGCCGCCAGAACGGACGGGGGGGATGCCGTCACCGGAACCCCTCCCATGGACTGCGCCCAATCCGACCACTCCTGGCTGCCGCCGCCGCCGCCACCGCCGCTGTTACTACTGTTGTGCCGGCGAAGGCCGCCATCGCCGCCGTGGCCCTTGCCCTCCCCGGCACGCGGCCCGAGGCGCCCCCAGATGGTACCGGGCCCACCCGCTGTGGGCATGGCCTCCTTGCCCTCCCCCTTTTCCTCGTCCCCGTCGCCCCGCTGCAGAGCGGAGTCCCCTCCCTCCGTGGGTGTACTGCTGCTGGTTTGACCATGATGGGGTCGTGAACCCCGCCGCCGCCGCCGCCGCCGCCGCCGCCGCCGCCGCTGGCTTCGCCGTAGTGCCTCCGCCGCCGGTGCGCGGCTGGAACTCCGGGGCGGTGACCCGGAGGCGTGCGCCTTCTGCCGGCGCCCGGTAGGAGTCGTCCGCGGCATCCCCGTCGTCATGGACGCTGTTGCCGTTGCCGTTGTCACCGTTGGTTCTTGCGTGGTGGGCGGTGGCTGTCATGTACCTGGGGTGGAGGGCACGTGGGAGGTTTCAGGGGGGGGGGGGATTATGAGAGTCTTGCTTAAGGGCAATCGCAACATCAGCCGTTCCGTGATGAGGCAGCTCGACCATGTCGTCAACGCCAAAGGCCTAGACATACCAGATGCTATATAATCCTAGCATCTACCGAAGTAAGCAAGACACCACCGCCATGCATAAACATAACCAAATGATGTTGCCCTAGACAAACCGGATCAAGCGAGAGATCAAAACCACCACCGCCGCCATGCATAACTGCAACGAAACGTGCCTTAAACAACCGAACCAAGCGCACAAAACACCACACCACCATGCACACACACAAACAAAATGTACCTTAAACAACCGGACCAACCATACGCCACACGCCCGACCCATCTCACCCCGGGGCGACATCATCACCATCATCGACTCCGTCACCAGGGCCGTCGCCGCCACCAGCGGAGCTTTTGCGCCTCTTGGACCCACCGCCCCAGGTAGCCTCGGGCGCCGGGGCTCTCGCCGGCTGCAAGCTCTGCATCACGGCGGACGACAGCAGCCGCGCTCCAGGTTGCCCTGCTGCGAAGGTCTTGTGCTGCGGCTGGGAATCATCATCCCCGTGTCCCCGCTTCACTCCCCCCTCTCTGGTCCCATTGTCCGCCCCATCTGTTGCAAAGGGGGGGCGTTGCATTTAAAAAAAAATCAGGACAGAGTTACTCTTTTATGTACAGCCGCGTGTGGGAGGGGGGGGGAGAGGCGGATATGATTAATATTTCATGAATAGTCGCGGGGGGGGGGGGGGGGGGGGAAAGGGGTAAAAAAAAAGTTTTCAAGTATTGGGGGGACCCCCAAAAGAGGGGGCAACCTAACGTAACCCGGGGAAAAAATTTCGGAATAGGCCCCTTTAACCGGGAAGGGACCAGGGGTTTTTTAACAACCCAATTGGACCCCCCTAAAGGGAAAATTCCCGAATCCCGGGCTTTCTGGGGTTCCCCCAAACGGAAAAAAAAAAAGTTAAAAGGGGAAAAAAAGGGTTAAAAAAATTTTTTTAATAAAATCCCCCCCCCCCCACCCCAGGGAAACCCTTCCCCCAAAAAATAAAAACCCTTC